CTTTCCCAGCTGGAAAAATTCAAGAACATGATCCCATTTGACCAGATGACGATTGAAGACCTGAATGACACATTCCCAGAAACAAAGCTGGACAAAGAAAAGCATCCTTATTGGCCACACAAGCCCATTGCTGATCTGTAAATTTACCACACTATTTATATTCCGTATGCTGAGGAAAGATCTGTCTGTAAGTCTGTACATCAACTTCTCATGAAATGAAAGCATCGTGTGTTTTATTTCTTTGTAATTTGGCGTAATTAAATCCTAAAATCGTGGCTCCTCTGTCTTGTTTTTTGTGGTCATCAAATAGCGCCAAAGTTCATCAGTGTTCACAGACCCATTATAAACAACCTCTCAGATCCCTCGCAGGCAAACAACTGTTATTTTATTACAGGATTTCTTCCCAGGCGTCATGAACTCAACTTGATACCTTTGACTGTGTTTTCTTTCTAAATTTGGTATGAAATATCGCCCGGCTCTCACTGAAAACTCGACCCTTGTGGATACACAGTTTTTAAGCACACACTCGGCCAAGTCACACTCAGCAGAAAGAAGAGTACAGTTTCCCTCTTTCGTGGGGTCGGTGTTGCCTTTGGGGAACCCGCAATGCCTCGTCTTTGTCAGTTTTCCTCATCAGAAAGGCAGACGCAGCTCTTCCTTATTGTATATTTACTTCTGTGTGTAGTTAGGTAATCCCTCGATGTATGAATACATGCTATACACCGTTACTTTAGACAGTCAAGCAATCCATCAGTTTGTGGACAGCTATGTCTGCAGAACAAATGATCATCCAACCCTTTTATTATGCAGTGTCAGTCTTGTTCAGGCTTTGTTATGACTACAGTATAAATCCGCATTTCACCACAGATGGAAATATGAGCAGTCTCTCTGGGACTGGAGAGAGACTTTAAACATAAAGCCCGCTTTCTGTGCTCTCACTGCACTATTATTATGGCTTTGGTTTGTGGCTTAATGCTGTACGTAACTCGGCCCATCACTGCAGGCTTAATGGTGATAAGTACGGGAATGTACCCCAACCTCGACGACACCGTTCTCTAAGGACAAAAAGCTGCTGCATTAAGAGGAACCTGCAGGGGGCGACATTGGGCTGAAAAAGCATAATGAAGCGAGTCGAGCCTACTGTGTTCAGCAATGAAACATAGAGTAAAAACATTGCTCTACCAGTGTTTTTGCCTGTTTAAGCCTATTTTACTTTGAAATGAGAACATTTTCTCAACCATGACCAACTTTTGGCAAACCTCTTCAAGCAATTCTGGTACATTTATAAAGCACCTTTTACAGACAAAGTAACAAGGTGCTTGACACCTAAAAGAATACACAAAAGGAAAACATATATTAAAGAACACACATGAAACTACCCAAATGCCAAAAAAGAATGCCTTAAGTGTAAAATGAGTACAAGGCACCAGCAGTAACCTATGCTCCAAATACGTAACAAACAACTTGGAAGAGTAGGTCAGTAAAAGTTCGGAGAGGGTCTGTGGTGTCTTAACCATTCAAAGCTTTGAGAGTTAAAACAAGAACTCCAAAGCTAAGAGGAGGCAGAGTGAAGATACTCTAAAATAAGAACGATATGAAATCCCTAGCTGTATTTTAGACAGACTGAACCTGATTTAAAGATGATTTTTCAAGACATTTAAGTAGACAGATGGAAAGATCAAGTCAGCTTCCTGACATAAAAGCCTTAAAGGCAGGTAACTGTCCAAGATAACCCCCAGTGTTACACAAAATTTTAATCTACAGAAGATCTCACAGATCTGAGGTATTGTTTGATCTTTGGGATTAAATATCTGAGCTACTGTTTAGTCAGAAATGTAATTGTTGAAAATGAGCTTTTAACCAACACTTGATGGCAGTCTAATATGTCTTTAGATCTGCAAGTTTAAAAATCTGGTTAGGTGGGAAAGAGCAGAACAGCTGGATGCCATCTGCATACAAGTGATTTTAAAATTTGCAACTACCTGTATAAGAGGTAAGTAGTATGGGTCCCTAAAGAGTGTGATCCTTTACAGTACGGTGAGCATCAGCAGTTCTTGTAATTGACTTAAAGAGTAATGCCAAACAGTAATGTAAGACTCACAAAATTGCATGCAGATAGATTGCACAATAAAAGGAGATTCATGAGGATTTTAATTTTAAACACAAAGCAACACAAAATGGTAAGCAGACTGCATTTATGATTCTAGTCTAGCTCGACCACTCAAAGCTCTCAGAGCCATAATCACCCACTTTGACATGTTGACTTGAGGAGCTGGGAATCAAACCAAACTTCTAATATTTGGAAACCTCAGTCTGTCTTCTCCTGAATATTGAACAAATATGTTAAAACGATTCAATTTAAAGATAAAATGAAGAGTAAGATTAACATTTCGGCCTTGCTGTAGTTACAGACGAAAAACTAGAAATGGAAATCTTCAGGCAGCTTCACATTTTTAGCAGAGTGGGCTCCTGTGTCCTCATCCATCCACTCTGATTTCTCCCAGTAAGACATTCCACAGTGGAGCGGTGATAATCCTCCTAAAATCTACACAGCACGTCACACCACAGAGCGCTCGTCTCTTTAGTCTGCGACTGGGCAAACTCGACGTGACGGTGCTGCCACCTTTGCATACAGCCTCAACGCAGTTTTCTGGAGTAGATACCAAAGAGTGAGACTGAAAAAGAGAAAGAAAGTGAAACAGTCTGAAAAAAAGTCAGTGGGGATAAATTGTTGGCAAAAACAAAGCAGGGGGGAAATAAAAACGTGCTTTTTTTCTTTCTTTCTCTTGATAAATGAGACCACAAACATATGTGTTTTATCCCCTTTCGGTCTGTAACTCTGTGTTCTTATTTTTCTGTTCTGCTGTGCAACACAACAGGTTCCCCGACTGTGATTAATGGTCAGTGGGAGTCACCTGTGCTAAGCTACTATGCGAAACAGCTACACACATATGCAAGTGTGAGTGCATGACCCCCTGTAGTTATACTTTCCCTTGCCTCAGCCATTCTTTTCCCAGCTGACCATTCAGCTGTTGCCAACACTTGTCTGCTTATTAACTGTTGCCTCGGCTCAGGACTCTGCACACTGTTTTACAGCCAGTAATGATTTTAATGAAATCCCTCTGCTCTCCTGTGACATGTAACTTGGAATACAGAGTATAAGATGTTTCAACAACAATGTGTATTAAAAAACTGAGCCAAGATGAATTGGAGGGCATAATCTTGGTGTGAAAGAAAATATCTTAAACGTCCAGAGTGCTGTTCACAAGTCTTAAGTCACCCCTCCATTCTTTATATTGTAAATGTGAAAATACGAGCAGCCATGTCTTGAAACGAGTAAACAGGTCAAAATACAGCATATAGGACAATCATATCAAATCTACAAATCAAAAAGACAATTCTTGTACAATTCTAACAAGTTAATATTGGGTTTGACCTTTTTTATTCGCTTTCTTGTAATTTCTCAGTTTGAAAAATGAAGTCATTGTGAATCTGATGCTTCAGTTTTTTTTTCCCATTTCTTAAGAAAATCATTTTCAGATATAGTTCATCAACTGCAGATAGTTCTTAGGCCTGCCACTTTTAGAGTTTCTTCAATTTTTTTGGGAATCACTTTTTGGAGGGGCAAAAATTCAAAAAAACAAACAAACAAAAATGATCATTAGTTGTAGATTAAGTTTGAAAATTAGGGAAGGATTTATTGTTTTGCAACAGGCTGTTAGCAACAAAGTCATTTAAAATGCAATTTTCCTAAGTTGCCTTTTATATGTAGACACAACACTGGTTGGACTTTTGAGTGAGGTGCCTTTTTATTCTTAAACACTTCATAGAGCAACATTAAGTGGCTTCAAATAGTCAGGTACAAGGACTGGCTTGGACTGGCTTGAGTGAAAAAGGATTTAATCACCAATGAAAAACTACAAGCCTGAAGAACTGTTATAACTCAAGCACACTTTAAAATATTACAATAAAGTGTGGCTCCTTGAAAACAAAAAAGAAAAGAAGGGGTGGCTACACAATTTTGCACAGTATTGTAGAAATCTTGGATCCAAGGACTCTGGCATGGTTATTGCGATTGTTTGACACGAATGGAGCATTAGTCGATGAGGGTGGAAGCATGTTTATTTGTTACCTCGCTAAATGTGACTTTTGCCACATTCATTTCTTGGTTTGCTCAGTGTTGTTGACATATTACTTTGAATTGTGTTAGCTTTAGAAACTGTCTCGCTGTCCGGACAAACAGTAATGTTTGTATATTAAACACAGGGAGGATGCACCTAGATCCTCTTTAGTGCCGTTGTCCCCCATTCAGAATCGATCCATCATTCTGTCCTCAGAGCAAACAGCTCACATCCGCTCCTGTGTGAAAATCTAAGTGTTCACTTCCTACCTATCCTTCACACAACCTATTATAGCCCTCATTTGGACATCCGTCAAATGTCACATGTTAAATTACGCAATCTATCACGCTCTGCACTTGCACCGCCATGGGCTGATGATCTTTGTCATGCCACAATGCCCTAAAATGTGTGTTTCCTTTGGAGGCTAGAGGGCATGGCCCCGTCTACTCCAGAATTTAATGGCTGAATTTAGGCAGGAACCATTTTTTTTCTCCACCTATCCAAAGGCCACAGCCCTGGTCAGAGGTCAAAGTGGGTTGGCCCAGTTACCAAGGAGGAGTCAACCAACAGGGCAAAGCAACTGGTGCTCACTGGGCTGTGCAAACAGGAGATCTTCCTCTCTGACCGATGCATCTGACAGGCCTGAGAGCAATGGGGCCTGAGCAGGTCACATTATCACAATTAGAAAAGAAGCAAGTGCTGATGAATGACAGGTTGTATAGAGCACACAACAACATGCTCATTCAAAGGCAAGATTGAGTCAGGGTAGGTGTAGCGACAGGACGGGCTTTTGTCATTCAGGTCTGTGAATATTTCTATAATGTTCCAGTTACAATGTATCGCATCATTGAATGAAAGAAAGCAGGCTTGTGTTCTTATTAACTTGATGCAAAACATGCTCCTTCTAGCCAGTTCAAAGTGAAGCTTCATATCTATAAATCCAAAGCTTGTGTTGTTTTGTGTTTGCAAGAAAATATCAGTTCAGGGAGTTTCATCAACTTTCTAGGGGCTGCAAATCATTCACGGCACGGTGACATCATGAGAAAGTTGTACCCCTGTTGACAAGTCCTGCTGTTGCCATGGGGCTGCTGGAAATGGCACCGTGGATCCCAGTAAATGAAGGTCGATGGGGGAGGGGATGTGACGGCAAGCAA